ACCTCAGTCAACAATCTATCGCATCATCAAGAACTTCAAGGGGAGAGGTTCCATTGTATCTAAAAAGGCTCCAGGGCGCCCAAGAAAGAACAGCAAGCGCCAGGACCGTCTCTTTAAAGTGTTTCACCTGCGGGATCGGGCTACCAGCAGTGCAGAGCTTGCTCAGGAATGGCAGCAGGCAGGTGTGAGTGCATCTGCACGCACTGTGAAGCGGAGACTCTTGGAGCAAGGCCTGGTCTCAAGGAGGGCAGCAAAGAACGAACTTCTCTCCAGGAATAACATCAGGGACAGACTGATATACTGCAAAAGGTACAGGGAGTGGACTTCTGAGGACTGGGGGTAAAGTCATTTTCTCTGATTAATCCTCTTTCCGATTGTTTGGGACATCTGGAAAACAGCTTGTTTGGAGAAGACGAGGTGAGCTCTACCACCAGTCTTGTCTCATGCCAACTGTAAAGCATCCTGAAACCATTCATGTGTGGGGTTGCTTCTCAGCCAAGGGAGTCGGCTTTCTCACCATCTTACCTAAAAACACAGCCATGAATAAAGATTGGTACCAGAATGCCCTCCGAGAGCAACTTCTCCCAACCGTCCAAGAGCAGCTTGGTGATGAACAATGCCTTTTCCAGCATGATGGAGCACCTTGTCATAAAGCAAAGGTGATATCTAACTGGCTCAGGGAACAAAACATAGAGATTTTGGGTCCATGGCCTGGAAACTACCCTGATCTGAATCCCATTGAAAACTTGTGGTCAATCATCAAGAGACCGGTGGACAAATGAAAACCTAGGAATTCTGACAAAATGGAAGCATTGATTGGGCAAGAATGGACTGCTATCAGTCAGGATTTGCTCCAGAAGTTGATTGAGAGCATGACAGGGAGAATTGGTCCTGAAGAAGAGGGGGCAACACTGCAAATATTGACTTGCTGCATGAACTCATTCTAACTATCATTAAAAGCTTTTGTTACTCATAATATGATTGCAATTGTATTTCTGTATATGATGACAACATCTGACATACACACATTAAAACCAGAGGGCAGCAGATCATGTGAAAATATAATATTTGTGTAATTCTCAATAACTTTGTCCATGACTGTATATAAACATTTGACATGTTTATATATAAAAAGGTGTTGACTGTGGGCTTATTCTGTGGAAGAAACAGAAAAGAGTTATTGGCACAAATAACATCAAAGGTCTAAAGTATTTATAATAAAATGTATTTTCTATAACAAAGCTAGAAACATAATTGAACCACTTAACTGCTGTCATTATCAAACACTGTGGAAATATTGAACACACAGCTCTGTATGTAACAGCTTTGCGTGTTTAAAGGTTTTCCATCTAAGCACCTGCCATCATGTTATATAAAATGATCTTATTATATTAAGTAACCATTCTGCTAAAAATAGATTTTTTTATTGGATATCTTTTTCTTTTTTTCTTATATTGCAGCGAAATATGACATGTTGAAAACTACAGCTTCTATAATCTGATTATGGTCCCTTATCCTGTGGGTTGGCCTCAGCAGCTGTAGGACTGCGATGCCTCTATCTTATGTAACACCCCCCTGACCCCCCACCCCCTTCGTTTTGCTCTCTCATCTGTTCCTTTGCTGTATGTTTACGCCGTTGATGATGATCCCTAGTTTTACCTCGGCGATGTTAAGGGCTCCATCTCTCCTCTCTGCACACAGAAAAAAAGAACATTAAAAATCCACATCTGTTTGGATCTCCTTCAAGCATGTTGCCTGAAAGCTTCAACAATCTGGTCTAGTTGTCCAGCAGCCAGTCGGGCAATTAGAGGAGCATATTTTAAAGCACTTGTGTTCATTTCACTCTGAGACATGTTCACTTATTTATGGGGAGCAGCCACAGAGGTCCTCTTCATCTACAGTGCAGCCTCTGTGATATATCGCTTTAAACCGCTTCAGATCTGGTTTGTGTTAATTCCAGCTTTAAATTAAACCTCGACATGTTCCCAAATCCCCTTTATTTAATTTCATGACACTTTTAGCCTAATTCTGTCATCCATCCCCCCCTCTGACTGCTCAAAGGGCTCCTGTAGGAGGCTGCTTTCCAGCTTCACTTCATGTTTTCTCTACGGTTTGTCTCCATTAATCTAATCGCCCACAAATGGTCTTATCAGCGCTCGTCATTTAATACTGTTATGCTTTGCTACTTGTAATAAGTGTAGGTGAAGTATAATACGACCCCCCTCTCAGACATGTCCTCTGGCAGTCCTCTGAGTCTTTGGCGAGCTGCTGTCTCACAGCTGATCTGAACGCTACGGGTCCAGACTTAATAAGTCGACCAGGGAGCAAAGCAAATACTCACAATGCAAAAACCGATCAAAAATGAGTAGATATTTCATAAAGCAAGTGTATTTCCCTTTAAATTTAAGCATGTAAATAGCATGATCTGAGAATACAATATTTTTGTCTTTAAAATAAGACAATTCAATATTTTGCACTAAAAGATAATATAATGACGTTATTTTTATTATTATAAATGGCCTTATTCCACTGGAAAACTGTTCAGTTCAACAAGAAAGGCTTATTTAAAAAAAATATATATATATATTTTAGTTTTTGCAGTGCAGCTGAAAACATAAAGGTATAGTGGATCATCAAAACAGGTGGTCCTCTCAATTGTCAATCATTCTGGTCATATGTTTACGTAAAGCCGTCCTGCGTGCTCGTCACTTACCGGTGGTCAGTCTGACATAGTGCAAAAATTGCAAATCTTCTTTTGGAAAATAAGCCTGTATGAGCGATGCAAGCAGCAACTTTTAAACAGAGCGTGCACGAGGAGAAATAGGCTCGTGGATACTCTCACACGCGTTTAAAAGGTGTTCTCAGGAGCAGATACAGGGTTTTGCATGTGCATTTTTTTTATAAAAGGGGGGAGAGGGCGTGTCTTTTCAAAAATTCATGAAATTCCTCCATTATACCTTTAAGTATCTTTTTTTTAATAAGTGTATTTCCCCTTGATTTTGAGCAGGTAGGTTACAGAATTTGCCAGCAAAATGCATTTATTTATGTTTATTATTTCAAGTGGATTACAATATGATTATCGTATTTTAAGTGTAAACATGCTCATTCCATTCACAGATCATCTTGTTTACCTGCTCAAGTTAATTGCAAATACACTTATCTTTAGAAATGTTTACTTTTAGAAATGTTTTTGCAGTAAAAGCAAAGCACAACACACACCAAAATCTTTGTTAATGGTATTTTATGCTTCCTATGTTTATATTAGCAGGTCTTGCAAACATAAACATATTCCCATTCCTTATTTTATATCTTGTGTGAGCAATGAAAAATGTAGTGACTGTTTTAGCAAGTGGTGCACAGCAACAGGTGGGAGAGGGGCAGCCTATGCTGCATGCAGCCATTGGTATTTGTTCTGACCATTGATTGCCTCCAACCAACATCAGTGACTGTGGTTGTTTTCAGTCTGTGTACCGTAACCAAAGTAACATTTTCTTTCCTCTGCTTTCCTCCGCAGTTTTCATCTGCAGCTTCATGGTCGCTGCTCCCATCTTCGGTTACCTGGGCGACCGCTTCAACAGAAAGGTCATCCTGAGCTGTGGCATTTTCTTCTGGTCTATTGTGACCCTAATGAGCTCGTTCATCAGCAAAGAGGTACGGCATAGCTCCTGCTCTCAAGGAAACTGCCGGACAATGGCAGCTGGGGAGCACCAGCGTTGCTCCGTTAGACTTCTCTCCTCTGACAGGGATGAGCTAATTAGTCTGTGGTGATCTGGATATGCTCGACGGTTAGTAAAGCGAAATGAAATGACACGCTTGTTAAATCAGACAGCAGCTTTGCCTTTGAAAACATTTTAATGTTTGCACCGCCCCCCTTCGCCCTTTTACTCTCTCTATCTAACTGGCTGGCAGCCAATCAACTAATGAAGGGCCGTGCCTCGCAGTTGTTTCAATTACAATCCTTTAGAAGATAAGGCTGTTTCTCATTAAACGCATGGAAGTAGTGTTGTGCTTGGTGGTGTCAGGTGCATTGAACATTATTTTAGAATCTGATGTGGGGGAAGCTGAATTCCTCCGAGGATCAGCATCATATTACAGTGAAAGCTTCTGTTTATAAACATGTCCATGTTGGGAGGGCCCGGTTAGATAAAGGCCTGATGACGGAGCCCTGGTAACATTTTTCAAGAGCCTCCTGGATCGGATATGTGGCATAAAAGGCTGAGTTAGTTAGATATATGCAGCACTCATACATGTCTGCAAAGCAGCGTTACGGAGTCTGTGGTGAGTAAGCCGGTTCACTGCCATAGCTCTTCAGAGCTGTGGACAGCAGTGACAGCTCAGAGATGCTGACGGTCCCAGGAGGGCATTCTTTGATGGAAATCCTCTTCAGACTCAGCCGCTTGGAGCTAAAATTGCAGGCTCTTCCCTGAGAAACAAGAGCAAGTAGAAAATAAGTCCCAGCTGCTTAAGTCAAGGGTCTCTTCCCTTCTGCCACAAAGGATGCAGCGCGTGGACAAGCTAACGATTGTCGAATAAGACAAGGCTAGGGCTTCATTACGTAACATCACCGAGCCACTGTCGCCATGACAGATAGAAAGATATGTCATGTAATGAAATGTTAATAACTACTTAGAACTGATTCCTATCATTACCAGTTTAGGAGACTGTGGTGTATTTTCTGTTTGGATTTGCAGCAGATTTGAAATCCAGATGTTAGGTAACAGAAATACCCCCAGCATCAGACAATTCGGCATGAAGGCTATGGATTACTTTCAAAAGGATTGCTTTTCTATTAATTGAAACACATCTGTGGCTTAGTGCTTTTAACTGTTAGACATGCAACAAAACATCTCATTGTGCAGCCGTTATTTCCTAAATTCACTTTGTAAAAGAGTAAGCATGAGAGATTGTAAGGTAAATATTCCCTTTAAAGTCATGTTTAATGTTAAAATGTGCAAATGAAATTCAGGTTAGAAGGTGAAACGCAGGTGAATGAATCTAGGTGCATTGGGACTCGCTCCATCTTTACAGATGATGGATGACGGTGATGCAATTGAGCAGAAGCAGAATGAAAATGATGTGATGTAACCGATGGTAAAACAGGGCAGGTGGAAGCAGTTCACAGAAGGATACGGGGAGAAACAAAGATAAAAAAACAGAACTTTTTAATTACATGTTGGCCATAGCTTTTTTTCTCAACAAATTCAGGAACCTATGGTAGGACTGATGAGACTTAATGCAAGTGCAATCTTTATTAACAAATCATATCAATACTATAGACAGGGCCATTGATTTTAATAATTACTGCTGGTTACATTCTTCACCCTTGACCTTTGATCAAATCATGGCTCGGCTATTTACAGTCATGTTAAGTGAAGTTAGCATGTGATTCACATAACTAAGACAAAGAAGGGAAGCTGATTTTAGCAAATCTGTAGATTTTAGTCAAGTGTTGTGTTTTTTAAAAAGTTATCATTCATACACCACTTTAGATGAGATTTCAAAAGAATTTTCCTGATTAATAAAAAAAATACAATTATAGAGCATCTGTGACCAATCTATTTAGCCTTTGCACAGATAGCGTGCTACTACTAGCATTTAACTCATATATATATTGAGAGTACATGAAATCAAATAAAAAATGTCTTTTAAAGTAACTTTTCTTTACCCCTTTTCAGTCTTTAGTAGTTATCTTTTGGTTCAGGATATAGTTCAATTCAATTCAGTTTATTTCTATAGCGCCAATTCACAACACATGACATCTCAAGGCTCTTTACAGCTCAAACAGATCATCCAGTCAAAGTGATTCAAGTTTTCTATCTAAGGAAAACCAGTTGATTGCATCGACTCATTGACTCGAAGGCAATCCCTCAATCTAATGATGTTCGTAGCAACAGTGGAGAGGAAAAACTCGCTTTTAACAGGAAGGAACCTCCAGAAGAACCAGGCTCAGTGTGAGCGGCCATCTGGGGAAACAGAAGCAGAGATACAAAAGGCAACTGTTCAGTTCAGTTCAGAAGCAACTACGCAGGGAATCAATTTAAAACAGTTGCTTAGAGTAGGTTTTCTGAGCTTCCTTTAACTCTGTGTTGTTTTCAGTTAAATGTTGATATTTCTAAGCTAAATTCTAGGGACTTAGACCACATCAGTGTTTACAAAGCTAATCTTTAGTCCAGATACCAATGTTCTCTAACACAATGAAGTTTTAATAATATTTCCTTAAACACTCAAGCAAGGAAAGAAAACAATATAGAGTGTCTGGATATCTGATATTATTAGTTTTATAGATTATAAAGCCTGATGAACCTGATAAAACCATAGATATTTGACAGATTTTTGTCTAAATAGCATGCTAATATTAGCATATAACTTATATTAGCATTTGATTTCTTGTTAGCATATAGCCTTTTAAAATTTTCTAAACTTCTTTATCTCTTTGTAGTCTGCTGTTTACTTTAACAACGTCCTCTTCAAATATTTGTGGTGTTTTTTGTGGCGTTACCACTTGGAGCTCTTTGGCGTTTGCAACGCTACTACTGTTTTAGTCCAAACCTCGATGATACAGTCCGAAGTCAACCACAGGAAAAAGCTGCCATCATGACTCCACTAAACACTGTGCAACCAAAGGTTGAAAATAGACTGTGAATGAACGTTTTTAGGCAGTGAGACAAACATGTAGCTGCAGCAGTGAGAGCTCAGCGGGGTATTGCTCATTATCACAGTAGTTCAAACAGAGTAATACAAAACTAAATGATGAAAAACAGCTTTGGAAACCTGCTTGCATATAGCTCTGAAAACAACAGGGTCTACTACGATGGCAGAGGGGGGCCTCAGAGGTATGGAGGGGAATTTCTTGCATGTCATTTTTACAACAGGGTGTGTATGTTGAGGTCTCCAGAGAATGTCTCTTTGTGGATGACCTCATGACTCCGTGTCCCGGCCTTCACCCAAACACAAAGGCTGAGGTGTCAGCTGGGAGCTCAGGTCAGCTCAGAGGTTAGATCCTGAGCTTCTTATTCTGCCACCTTTAGTTCTTTTCATAGAGCGATCACCTCCTCGTTTAACACCTAACAGCCTAACAGTGGGGGGGTGTACAACTGCATTGCCCTGAATTTCAAAGATATTGAAGAGTAATCCGGTTTTTAAAGGTAACTAAGATCCTACAGTTAGAGAGATAAGCTGACTCCCCTTCATTATTTATTTATTTATTTTCTGATTTGTAGCCAATGTGTGGGGCTTGCGTCACATCAGTGTGCGGGGGGGGACTAGATTTCTTCGCAGCTTCACAGGCGGACATGGGAGCCTACATCCTGTGAATAGTGGTTGCTATGGAAACAGTTGACGATCCAGCTGCCTACACAGGTGCCTCTGAATACAAGCTTTTAAAATGTTCACCTTTTTTCATTTTTCACTTTGCGACAGCTGCTAGAAGATAACGTGTCACAGGTGGATAATAAATCAAACTCAGTCTTATCATCGGTTTGTCTTATTTTTGTTAAGGTAATAATTGTGCACTGTTCTTAATAAGATGATCAGTTAACCTTTTAAATCAAACAAATGTTGGTGTAGATTAAAAACATAAGCAATAAAATCATAAAACATGTTCTCTTTTATTTCAAATGACTGTATTGTTTTCATTGCTATCTCTCGAGGAATTAGTGTTGTATTCAAAAGACTTGACTCCTAGAAGTTCAATTTTAAGGTATACAAAAACAGATGAAATAGCTATTTGCCTGAACAGAATTTAAATTGAACTTTTAAAAAGGAAAAAGCCTCCTTAAGTAAGATGAAAAAATGTTTTCTGTTTGACTTTGTTCTTAGAGACAGATTACCTGCTGTGCTCCACAAGAGCTTATTGATCGTTTTTCTTTCTGAACCTTTTTCTTGTTCTGTTTTCTCTACAGTACTACTGGCTCTTTGTGCTCTCCAGAGGACTTGTGGGCATCGGTGAGTCCAGCTACTCCTCCATCTCTCCCACCATCATAGGCGACCTGTACACGAATAACAGCCGGACCATGATGCTCTCTGTCTTCTACTTGGCCATCCCCCTGGGAAGGTGAGAGGCAGACACATCATAATGTGATAATGATAAATGTGCATCTCAGTAGATTAGAACATTGTTACAATGTACATTTTTGGCGATAAAGTAAAATAAAGACTGAAACTCATTTAGCCTAGAGTAGCTAATCTTTCTCCTGTTAGGAGGTACCCCGTTTACATGTGCACCTTTTTCTATGAAACTTTTTTCTAGCACTCAAGTTAAGTGACAAGAGAACTTGATTTTTACCTATCCTCCAAATATGGGGATGGATATTTACATAAGTTATTATCTATATTTTGTCAGATTCTAATCAGGTAACTTAAACACTTTCAGGTCAAAAAGGGAGGATTTTTCTGACATGTGGTGTCATTGTCATACTAAGCATGCTTGTAGTGACAGTGGAGAGGAAAAACTCCCTTTTAACAGGAAGAAACCTCCAGCAGAACCAGGCTCAGTGTGAGTGGCCATCTACTATCTGTAAAAGTTGGCCTTATCCAGGAAACACACAGCCAGGCAGATAAGCTGCGAGCCAGCTCCCATGTCAGAGGATGAAGAGAGCACATCCAGCCAGTCACAGTCAGAGAAACAGGACTACACTGAAAAAAGGCTGATCACCAACATCTATAAACAAAGGTGTTGCAGCAGAAGAGCTGATATTTCTCTCCAGGATAGTGTCACAGTCAAACTGGATCAGATGAGGGGAAGCTACTATGAGAACAAGCAGAGAGAGTGTAACATTAGACTGGAAGAATAGAAATAGAATTAAGCAGAGTGATGAAAAGGTGTCCCTTTGTCCTCCAGCAGTATTAGCCTATAGCAGCATAACTATAGAGATAGCTCAGGATAACCTGAGCAACTCTAACTATAAGCGTTATCAAAAAGGAAAGTTTTAAGCCTAGCCTTAAAAGTAGACATGGTGTCTGCCTCACGGACTAAAACTGGTAGTTGGTTCCACAGGAGATGATCCTGATAACTAAAAGATCTGCCTCCCATTCTACTTGTAGAAATTCTAGGAACCACCAGTAAACCCACAGATTGAGAGCAAAGTGCTCTGTTAGGAACATAAGGAACAATCAGATCTCTGATATCAGATGGAGCTTGGCCATTTAAGACTTTATATGTGAGAAGGAGGATTTTAGGATATTTCTATTTTTTGCAAAATTCCGCAGATGAAAGAAGGAAATTCTAGAATACTAGAATGATGGAGATGGGAGGAATTTGCTGCAGTAACCCATCTCTTTACATTAATTCCTGTTTAAAATTCTGAGGTGAGCCCCTGCAAAATGAATTCGCTCCGAGAAAGACAGCCTCCCTCTAAGCGGTCATGTTGTTCCTCTCCTAAATTTCCAGGTCAGTGTAAAAGGGCCCAGCAGTCCTAACAATAGAAGGTTAAAGATCGGCTGCAGAAATGAGCCGTCATCGTTCCATCCAGTCTCTTACTTGTTTGTTTTTCTAATACTGTTTGGACTATTTCCAGGAAATGACCTGAGGAATTAGATCAGATTTACAGGAAATTGACTTCACTGCCCTTTTCCGTGTTTTTCTCTGAAACTTGGCCCCACTGAAATATTTGTGTGCCGTGATGTTGATGGTTGGAAGGGTAATTTTTCTTTTTTTTTAAGGCTTGAGTTTTATCGATGGTGTTGAACTTTCCAAGCATGTAGTTTGAGTGGACTCTGATAAGCCAGGCTGTTAGTCTCTCACTGTTGGGATAAAGTTTATACTGAACTGTTGATTTTGGAGAACTAACCTTGGAGGTACAGGCATAAACAGTTTTCCCGGGAGTTTGTATAAAACCAATTAAGGATGACCAGCACCTATTATTGATAAGAACTGCCAAGGAATTCCTAAATAATAGCGCATTGTGTATTTTATATAACTCTCACTGATTTTACCACATCTGACTTATATCTAATGGAGGTATGGGGTGGTGCTTTAACTGCTAGTAAGAGTTATTATAAATGGGTGTGGATATAGTGATCAGGTACATTTTATTTATTTAAGCTTAATGAATTGATAGAGAATTATATTTTAAAATTCATGTATAGTGAAAAAGTTCTACCAAACAATATTCGAAGTAGGTTTTTAAAAAGAAAAAGGATGTAAGAACAGAACAAAAAAAAAATCCAGATATAGAACAATGACTATGGAGATGATGGATGTATTTCAAATAAAGGTGTTAATTAATGGAAGAGTCTTAACAATTACTCAAAACATTCAAAACCTTTTCTATATCTTAAAGAAACCTGAAAGTCATCATTATGAAACAGTATCAAAATGTTTAATGTTTAAGCTTTTTACGGTTCTTTGTTTGTTTTATTATGCACTGCTATATATTGTGTCCTGTTTTGTGTAATTATTTTGAGTTGAATAAGTGATACTTTTTTGTGAATGGGGAAGATATGAGTTCTTTCTGCTACTTTTCATTAAATAGTTTAGATGTTAACAAAACAAATTATATAAAATAAAATAAAATAATATCAAAGACCTTGGCTAAATTTAATTATCAATCTGGTGAGACACCAAATCTCCTTCTAAGAGGCAATAAACCTTCAGTAATACAGGATTGAAGAATACAGATACAGAAGAAAAACCAGACCTGTTAGCAGAGTGAAGCTGTGTGTTGCCTTCAGGGTCAACGGGTTTCAGTGACTGTTATATGCCATCTACCCCCAGCTGGCTGTTTATAGGGCGAGCCTCAGCAAAAGAAAATCCACTCCTGCATCACAAATAAAACTTGTGGAGTTGGATTGACTCAACTAGAAATGAAATAGATGCGATTAAAATGACATTATTTGCAAAAAAAAAACAAAACAATCCAGGTTGGGTTGGCATTGAAAGTACAGAATGGTATTATAAGCATCTATGAAAAAGACCACAATTAAGGTCATTATGATAA